ATGCATATGAAAGTTGGACAGTGAATAAGGAGGCCTGTAGAAGAATTGATGCATTAGAATTATGGTGTTGGGGGAGAATATTGAGAGTATCATGGACTGCGTGAAAAACAAACCAATTTGTATTGGAAGAAGTGCAGCCAGAGTGCTCCTTGGAAGCCAGGATAGCCAAACTTTGTCTCTTATACTTTGGACATATTGTCTGGAGGGACCAATCGCTAGAGAAGGATATCATGTTTGGTAAAGTGGAGGATCAGAGAAAAAGAGGAAAATCCCCAACTGGATAGACTGATACAGTGGAAGTAGCAATGGACTCAAATATTTCAATGATTGTGCAGTTGGCAAAGGACCAGGTAGTGTTTTGTTCTGTTGTGCATTGAGTCAATATGAGTTGGCACCTAACAACAACAATTATTAGGTGTTGGTGATGTGAGAAAAACACTGAACAGCAAAGTTAGTTTGAACTACAAGGTCGATGGTTCAAACTCACCAGACAATCCTTGGAAACTTCATGCAGGTCTCTGTGAGTCAGAACTGAGTCGAGGGCACTTAACAGCAACAACAATATTAAGGATAATTCTTTCAAAAGCTAAATGAGAGTATCTTCAGAAATAAAGTCACCAGATGTGGACTTATATGTTCTTCCTTGTAGAAATTCGCATTACCAAACCAAACAAATCCACTGTTGTTGAGTTAATATCAATTCATGTCAACCCTGCAGGATAGAGTACAACTGCTCCTTAGAATTTCTGAGACTAAATCATGGGAGCAGACAGGCTCTATTTTCATCCACAGAACGGCTGATGGGTTCGAACTACCAACCTTTCAGTTAGTCCAATGTTTAAACCACTGTACCACTAGAGTGCCTTAAAACTTACATTGTTGTCATTACTTTGTACCTTGAAGTCAATTCTGACTCATAGCAGAAAGTGGCTGGTGGATTTGAACTGCCAACTTTGTTGTTACCACATCATGACTCACATTTATGCTATACTGAGTAATTAACAATGTGCATGAGAACTTGGGTGTAAAATGATGATCACATCATTATTGTTAACTGCCATCAAGTCGGTTCTGACCCATAAACAACCCTGTATAGGGTTTCCAAGGAGCAGCTAGTGAGCTTGAACCATCAACCTTGCAGTTCAAACCATCTTTGCAGTCCAGCGTATTATCCCAGAGCACCACACCAGGACTCCAACATCATTATTAATAACAGAAAAAACAAGAAGAATACTTAGCTGTCCAGCAACAGGGAATTAGTTAATCATTAGGGCACGTTTAGGCAGTGGACTACTATTATTGCTATTACAACTTGCAAGTATAGAAATTACAGGTATAGAAATAAATGAACTGACAAGGAAAAATATTTTCAATAGATGCCTTATATACTGTGCAGAAAAGTATCAATATATGCACATGGATATTGGTTTGTTGTGGTTAGGTGCCATTGAGTTGGTAACGACTCATAGCGACCTTATGCACAACAGACCGAATACTGACTGGTCCTGTACCAACTTCACAGTCGCTGCTATGTTTGAGCCCATTGCTGCTGCCACTGTGCCAACCAATCTAGTTGGTGATCTGCCTTTTTCTCCAGCCCTCCACTTTACCAAACATGATATCCTTCTCCATGTACTGGTCCCTCCTGATAATATATCCAAAGTATGAGAGATGAAGTCTGGTCATCCTGGCTTCTAAGGAGCACTCTGGCTGTACTTCTTCCAATACAGATTGGTTTGTACTTTTGGCAGTGCATGGTACTGCTTGGAAGTACATATATATACCAAAGTACATATATACATATACGATACATATATACAAATATTATACTTCTGAATTATGAGATTATAGATTTTTCGTATTTACGAAGGTGAATCATAATGTATTGTTGCTAGGGTTTCAATTCATACATTCACAAGTTTATTCCAGGCAAAGCATGTTTTAAACCTATCTCTGTGACCTGTGGATGGCTGCAGACAAATTCTTTTAGTTATATACTTGTCTTAATCTCATTAGTGTGCCTTTAAAAAAAAGTTATAATCAGTATTCACATCAAGTATCAATACTATGACCTCCGTATACAGGGTAGATAGGGGCCGTCAACTTAGACAGCGGCTACATAAAATGAGGGGTAGATAAAGACATGGAGTGACTGGCTTACAAGGTTTCAAGACGGACTTTTGTTTGTGGGGGGAGATCAAGTCCCCACTGAATAGCTTTCATCTTGTCTATATAGGTCTGGTGAAAAGAGATAAGGATAACATTCTTATGATTCAATAGTGAGTAATTGTTATAATGACTAATTGCGACTGTCACAATATGTAAAGTTAGAAGTTTTGTAACAAAAATGGGGCAGTAGTTAATCTTACAGTCCGGAAATAGAGGACTCTAGGATCATCAAGGGTGAAGAGCACAAGTGGAATGCAAGACCCTATCCAGAGAAGCAGCGACACAAGAGATGGAGGCAGAGATGGCGACATAGAGAGAGGGAGCAGCTGAGGACTCATGGAAGCAGCTGAGAATTTATGGAAGATTCATGGAAAGAGCGAGACTGAGAGCCGAGGCAGCCAGGTGGCAGAATTGCAATATGTACATTTGGGTAGTTTAAATTATTATGTATGCCTGAGTATCTTAGGAAGGAAAAAAAAAAAGAGCTAAAATGAATAGAGAGAAGTACCATTAACTGATAGTACATGAAAGGGATTATAATCATTGTAATGAAACAAAATATATGATTTGCTGAATGTAAAACTGATGATCTGCCCTGTAAACTTTCACTCAAATCACAATAAAAACTTAAGGGGAAAAAAAAGCTCCAATGAAACTATGGCTTTTGAGGGGATTTTCTGGGCTAGTTGAATACAAAGCAGGTAGGCAGCTCAGAAGGTTATGCTGACATCTTTTGGGGATTCCAAAAGCATAATCTTAATAGGTGTCCTTGAAGGACACAGGATAATCACACGGGCTTTTAGGAAGATATTTTAAGAAAATTGAAAATTGCGTTGGTGAGAAAAAGACCAGAAAAATTGCACCAAGGAATTTTTTTCCATCACATCAATCCATTTGCTCATTCTTCAAGGTTAGCAAGGTCTATCCTACAAAAATTTCATTATTAAACCCTACCCCATCCAACCTACATCCCTGATCTTGCCCTTTCAGACTTCTTTATGTTCCCCAAATTCTGAGGCCCTTAAAGATGCCAAAATTGCCATTTTGGTGTTGTATAAATCAAAAAGTAAAGAATTATTTGGTGGAAGGGTTAAAGAGATAGAAGCACCCCTTTCAGGACTGTATACTTCACATTTTGATTTTTTTTGTTTAATAAATAAGGGGCCAATGATTTTATAACAATACTCACCCTTGTATATCTTTTTCATTCACATTTTCCATGTTTTCCTATAAAAAAAAAAAAGTTTTTCCAAAGCTATTTTATTTTCCTTTAATAGCAGAAGAAAGAAAAAAACAGTAAGAAGAAGTGAAAAAAAAAAAAAAAACTACATGATTTTCTATGAAAATAGAGCATGGCAACTTTGGTGCTTCAAAATAATTTTTTATAGAACTGAAAGAATTATCTAGGTTTTTCTCTTATCTATATCACTGAAATCGATTCTCTTGCATGTTCTTCATCTGACTCTTATTAAAAACACATTTCAAATATATAAAAACAAGCAACTTCCTTCTTCTGAAGATATTTTTGTGGATTTGACTAGTGCCTATTGAAAGGAAAGTTAAGATGTTTTCATGCTGCTGGGCCCAAGGCATTTCATACTTGGAAAGGCCCTATCTTTAATCTCTAATTGCATTAAGTTTCTATGTCTGACTCATGAAGAAAGGAAGCTTCAAAGTAGACTAGGGGAAATCCAATTTCTCCCTAAAGACAATAACCATTGATACATTTTAGACAGGGTGACACCTATGTTCAGAGCTTCTGTGTATGTTAACTGGAAGAATTAAGAGTTCAAGGATGTGTCAGATAAAATATTAAAAGTGTGTTATTTATTACAAGGAGCTCTGGTGATGTAGTGGTTATGAATTAGGCTGCTAATCTCATGGTCAGCAGTTCGAAACATCCCAGCTGTTCCGTGGGAGAAAGATGAGGCTTTCTGCTCCCATAAAGAGTTACAGCCTCGGAAACCCTATGCAGGGTCACTATGAGTCGGAATCGACTCCACGGCACATAACAACAGCAACATTATTTATTACAGATCTCTTGTCTCCAAGGTTATTTAAGCAATTTCCTAAAATTAGGCAATCTTCATTGCATATCTCTGAGTGGGCTACCAGGAAGAATTAGTACTGTTTTGTTTTACTTGTATTCATCCAGCAAATATTTATTGAGTACTTTGTTTATTATGCTGAGCTTAATGTTTTGTTCATTGTTTTATTTCTTTAGAAGACATTTCTCATAGATCTTCTTTCAGTGGCCATTGGAAGTTGAAAGAAGTGGCTATTGAAAGAAAAGTAGGATAGGAATAGAAGTGAAATCAGCAGAAATAGAGTTCATCTCAAGGCTCCAGGTCCTCAGTTCACTCATATGCATTATATGAGCTTTGTCATTTATTCTTTAACATATCTTGATCCTCCCTCCTATATGTTGTTGTTGTTGTTAGATGCCATTGAGTCGGTACCAACTCAAAGTAACGCTATGCACAACAGAACGAAACACTGCCTGGTTCTGCATCAACCTCACGGTTGTTGCTATGCTTGAACCCATTACTGCTGCCACTGTGCCAGTCCATCTTATTGGGGGGTCTTCCTCTTTTTTCCAACCTTCTACTTTACCAAGCACGACATACTTCGCCATGGGTTGGTCCTTCCTGATATGTCCAAAGAATAAGAGACAAAGTCTGGCCATCCTGGCTTCCAAGGAGAATTCTGACTGTACTTCTTCCAACACAGATTGATTTGTTCTGGCCTATATTCTGGACATCAGTTCTAAGTGTGTCTTCTCGGCTCTTCATAAAACATAATGTTTCATTCTCATTTCTTGTCACTCCTAGGTAAAATGTCCAGTGATCGAGCATTGAGGAAGCAGCAGCAATTAAACAACCTTATTTATGTGGTGACAAATCAAGCCAAACCCGGTGACAGAATTGTGGATTTCTGCAGCGGCGGGGTATTGGAGCTCTCCTTTTCTCCTTTTCAGCTTTTCTAAGACTATATACTTTATACTATATTACTTCAAGGTTGTGTTTGTATTTGGCAAGATTGCTGTCTCAGAATGAACAAAACCTACAGGGAGCAAAGTTAACTTGTTCTTTTTTTTTTTTAACTATTTTCAGGGCCATGTTGGAATTGTGCTTGCTCACATGCTGCCATCATGCCAGGTAAAGTCTGAATAATAGATAAAAGGAAACATTGGAAACATAGTTCAGCTAGCCAAGGCTGGCTTATCCTCTCTGCTCTTTGAGTTTATAATTATCCACCCAGGTAAAATATGTGGCTTAGGCATTCTCTTTTTTCTTTGAAGTGTATTCCTAAGATTAAAAATCTTAAGGAGAAAAAAAAGAAAAGTAAAGTAGAACCCAAATATAGTTTTAATTTTTTTAAAGATTATATTTAAAAATAGGTTTTAAAGAAACCACCATTCTATTTTTCAGTAGAATAATTATGATAAAACTAGTTTAATTTTCATCACAGATTTATATTGGAAATAGTGGGCTTCTGAGACTTTCTGAACTTTTAGTATAATTTTCAGTCATTTCATCACAATTTTAACAACAATAAAATTTTTGAAGAAGATAAATCCACTCTCTACTACATTCATCTGCCAAATGGTTTTGTCTACATGTTCTCATTAAGTTGTTGTTCATGTGATGCATAATGCTGCAAATTCTGAAAATATAAACATAATTTTAGTTCCATTTTCATTTGATATTGTATGATCGATGTTTTCTTTATTACTAATATTTTAGCTACCATTTTTTAGTTACCATTTAATGTTTTTGAGGACATATACCAAAATTTATTTAATCTTCACTACAGTTTGTTAGATGTTTGTGCTAATTGTAGTCTTCTGCCATATTAAACCACTTCTTCACAGTGTCCGTCTAGCAACACAAAATCTGAAACTTGGAGTCATCTTTTTTTTAAATACAAATTCAACTTAGCCATATTCTTTGCTTGGGAGTTATGTGGAAGCTAGGAACTAATTACTTATGGCAGAAAAAAAAATGTAGGAGAACTCATAAATTTGTCAGAATGGTATGTAACAGAATGAAGGGGGTAGAGCATTGTTAAAAAGGTGCCTGTTTTGTTATTAAGGAAGGCATTGAAGAAAGAGAAAGAAAACTTAGAAATAGAACCCTGGAGTCGAACTGGGCATATAGTATCTTTTTTCCCTTCCTAACATTTCTCCTGAAGAAAAACTACAAAGCCTTTGATTACTTTGACAGATATTTTTACACAAAGGGATATATGACTTTTTCAGAAATACAAGCATAAGGATAAAAAAAAATAAATGTAGAACTAACAGTGGTAGTGATGAAAGTGATTGACTCTACCCACTTGTCTCCTTCCAAACCAACAATCCTCTCATATCTTCCCAGGATTACTGTTAGATTCTCCTAACTGGTTTCTCTTCCTTTTGCCTTGCCTCCACCATTCTTTCCATTATCACACATGATCTGACCTCTCCAGCCTGATTTCCATCTTCCACACCTGGTCCCTCTATTTCTCTCCACACATACTGTGTCCCAACTTTACAAGTTTTCCCAGCTCTCTCTCATTTCGGTTCTTCACATGGATTTCTCCCTCTGACTGTAATGCTCCTCCATTTACCCAGCTAATTTCTATTCATCTTTCAGACATTAGTACATTATATCTCCATGAAAAGCATCTTTACTCTTCCAATCTGGGTACTCCCACTACACATTATATGCCTTTTATTGTAACTTTTTGTCACACTGTGTTCTAATTGCCTGTTTCGCTTTTATACCACTATACTTATGAGCTTCAAGAGTTTAGTGACCTTGTTCATTTTTGTTTCCCATTATCTGGTATTCTCCCTGGCATAGGACAGAGGATCAATATAATATAATAATAGTATGTTTCCCTAATGTCTGGATTATATTACTGAATATACTGTTATTTTCTGAATGATATCTAGGTTACCTTAATAGAAAACAAGGAGTTATCTTTAGTTCGTGCTAAGAAGAGAAGTGATGAACTAGGTTTAAGCAACATTTGGTTCATTCAAGCAAACATGGAGTATTTTACAGGAATGTTTAATATTGGGGTAAGTACTCAAAACAATTTTAATTTTAATTGAAAAAGTATATGCCTTAGAGGAAATAAAGGGGGCATTTTTACATATTCTTAGCTAAACAAAGAAACCTAGTTTTTTTTTTAATGGTTATAAAGTACTATTTTTTTCATAACACTTCATCATTACAGAATGGAGATACCATTTGTTCCTCCCAGATAAGAATTTCATCTTCTTCACTGCAGAATTCCCCATGTCTTGAACAATGTTTGGCTTATAACAAGTGCTTATACAATAGTTAATAATTGAATAAATTAATTCTCATGAATATGATTTGCCTTGGTTTAGTCTTCATTTTTAGAAGACAACAAAAGAAAAACAAACATGATATTAAAAGAAAAATAGCTTTTATTAACCTCTAAATATCGAGTTAGTTTCCCTTACATGCTATTTTATGTTGTTAAAATTTGACATGACATGTATTTTTAATTTCCAAAACATAGAAAGATTATGGGTCATATTTATAAACTCTTTAGATAAAATTATTATTGTCTGATATGACTAGGAAGATGTAATATACATAATTCTGCCAGCCAATTTCAATCCAAGTCTGTGATCTTTTGTGGAATATATGAGTTTCACTGAGGTGATGTTGTTGATGCTCTTTCTTGTTTTTGTATTAATGTGTCCCCCCTCCCCTTATTTTGATAGGACTATGAATTCAATATATAAAAGTGCCTAGTAATATGAGCTCTGGTAGCGTAGTGGTTACAAATCGGGCTGCGAACCTTAAGGTCAGCGGTTTGAAACTACGAGCCGCTCCGCGGGAGAAAGATGAGGCTTTCTACTCCCATAAAGATTTACACCCTTGGAAACCCTGCACAGGGTCGCTATGGGTCGGAACCGACTCGATGGCACTTAACAACAACAACAACAAGTAATATAAGTAAGAAATCACTGTATTCCCACTACCCAGAGATACTTTTTGGTCTTTATGATGTGATACTGTATTGATACTATAAGAACTGGATTGCTAACCACAAGTTCAGTGATTAGATCTCACCAGATGCTCCTTAGAAACTTTACACAGGGTCACTATGAGTTGGAACCAACCCAATGTCACTTGACAATAACAACAGCATATTTATTCACACATAAAAGACATATTGACACATATGTTAATATTATTGAAATCATATTACATAGATCCTGCTCTAACTGAACATTATCATAAATCTTTCTCTAGTCATTAATCATGCATCTTTTTCTCCTTATTGTTATAAAGTAATTAATGACTTGATGAATATCTTATGCATTAGTCTTTATCTGGATTTCTTACCCCATTGGTGGCATATTTAAAAATTGAATTACTGAGTCACTGTGATTGTTTAAGGTTTTTCAAAGAGATGTTTGCCAAATCACTTTCCAGAAAAGTTGTACTAATTTTCATCCCCAACTGTATTGGTTCATGTAGCATTAGCTTGTTTAAGTGGGCTGATTTTTTAAGTGGATAATTTATTCAACTTGAGAAACTCAGATCTTTTATGTTCTTGTTGTTAAGTGCCCTCAAGTTGATTCCAACTCATAGCAACCTGATATAGGGTTTCTGAGGAGGAGCTGATGAGTTTTAACTGCTGACCTTGTGGTTCAAATTCCAGTGAGTCTACAGCACTACACCAGGAGTCCGAGATATTTTTTACTACTTCTGTTTTGTTTTTTGGGTTTGTTTTTTTTTTTGTCTAATGAAGTTCATTTAATTCTTAAATATTGACTATGGCAATTAATTTTATTGTATTGTTATTTTATAGTCTTAAAAAGGAGTAATTTATTTCTTTTGAAGACTTGATGGACATTGGTTACTTCAAAGCAGGCATAGACAAAGAGAAGGGAAGTGTAAGTAAGGAAATTCAGAAAAAAGTAGAAATCAGATCCAGAAAATTCACATTAAAATTATACCTACATGTGGTTTTACTTTCATATAAAATTAAGATAAAGACTAGATCTTCTTCCACAAAACAACTCATTAATACAATATTCATGTTACCAATTTATCAGGCAGGATATTTAAGGTAGAAAAGATATTGGTTTTCCTTTACTCACCTCTCAAAACACAAAACTCCCAGTTATCAACTATATTTATGTTTGCCTTCCCATGACTAATAGATGCTGAATCACATTGGAGTATTTGGATCGCTCCCAAGGTCCTAATTCACTAACACCAGTTAAATATGTGTAGGTTATTTTGGAAGTGATTTTTTTCTACATTTCATTTTATTATATCCATTAAATTTTTTTTCTCCTTTAATTACCTTTGTCAAGATATACAGAAAGAAAATTAACTAAAATGACACAAAAGGTTAAACTAAAATTAGATTCCATCTCAAGAAATAATTTGCCTAGAAGGAAAATTGAGGTATTATCACTAGATAAATCAGACTAAATGAATCAGTGCCTGTAACTCTTTTATTAAATAGATTCCAGTGAAAATATGTGACTAGAGAGGAAATCCAAATAACCAACTATTGGAAATGCATTAAAACTGCATTAATCCATGATTTTGTTATATTTCAAATAAGAGCTTGGTTGACATTTACCTTTGCTTAATAAATGCTTTTCACTTTTACTATTTTTCTATAGCTATAAAAATTAATGATCTTAACAAGATTTTAAGGAAAGAATTTTAAACTCTTAGAATCAATTATTTGTAGAAATTTTAGACAAATTATATATCAGCATTGACATACTATTAATCTTACCTCCTTTATTACTATAAAACTGTCAGGCAAAGGTGAATGAATTCATTGATTTTTTTTTTTTTTTTAACCTAGCTGATTTGAAACAATACCAAAGGAAACAAATCTAAATATTTTCAGATTTTCGCCAAGGTCTCCTAATATCCTCTCCTACTATATACCTCCTCTATATGACCAGATTCAATGAAATCATACTGCATTTGTTTCAAGAAGTCATTTTGCATTTTCTTATTTACACTCTGTTTATATTAGAAATATATAAAATCATTCAAAGTCTCTAGTAATTAAATAAGTTTAATTTGAATAGTTCAAATCCATTCTTGCCTTGAAATTTGTAGGAATTGTTATTAATCATTGGCTTTAATGAGATGGGCTTAATCTTAAGGAACCTTGAAAATTTTAAAATAGTTTCTGTACTGATCATTAACATGAAAAAATTAGTTATAGTGGTAAACAAAGGAATTAATGTATAAAATTGCACAGTATTTTTAGTGTTAAGTGCCCATCAAGTCAGTTCTGACTCATAGCATATCTTTATAGGGTTTCCAATGAGCAGCTGGTGGGTTTGAACCTCTGACCTTTTGGTTAGAAGTCCAGTGCTTATCCTACAATGCCACACCAGGAATCCAATATAGTATTAGGGTTAGATTTTAACATTTTGCAAACTTGTGTTACAGTCCTAGATTGGCCATTTACTAGCTGTATATCATTGGACAATTTATTTAAACTCTAATTCTCAATTTTTCCATCTGTAAGGTGGGTGTGAAATATTTTGCCCTATAGGGTTATGGTGATGCTAATATAATGCACATGAAGCACTTAGCAACTGTCTTGGAACTTTGGAATTACTCAGTTAACCGGTTACTTGGCAGAGCAGTAAAACGGTAACTAAAAGCTTATTGTTGTTGTCAGGTGCCATCGAGTCGGAACCGACTCACAGTGACCCCATGCATAGCAGAAGGAAACAATGTCCAATCTTGGGCCAACCTCACTACTGCTGCCACACTTGATGCCATCAATGATGCCACCTGGCCAATCCATCTCGTTGGGGGTCTTCCTCTCTTTTTCTGACCCTCCATCTTACCCAGCATGACATCCTTCTCCAGCAACTGTTCCCTCCTGACAATATGTCCAAAGTATGAGAGATGAAGTTTAGCCATCGTGGCCTTCAAGGAGCACTCTGGCTGCACCTCTTCCAAAACGGATCTTAGCGAAGAAAAAATTTTACAAGAGCCACAACCTCATCTACCCTAAGAATGGAAGAATTAGATGGCGCCATGCTATCACCACTGACTGAGACTATAATATTTGGTTCTGGATAGAACTGAAGAAATATATGGAGAAGTAGTCAAAATATCGAGAAAGAAAGCCAGACACTCTGAAAATGCGGCGAATAGAAGACACTGAGTCTATTGCCTTAAGTCATTCTTTAAACCTAGAACTAAGTCTATCCTGAGACCACCTTCTAGTGAAACAGCAGAAGGCAGACAAAATAAAGGATACTACCTAAGATTGTTAAGGAGCTCTGGTAACATAGTGGTTACAAATCGGGCTGCGAACCACAAGGTCAGCAGTTCGAAACTACCAGCTGTTCCACGGGAGAAAGTTGAGGTGTTCTGATCCCGTAAAGATTTACAGCCTCGGAAACCCTGTACAGGGTCGCTATGAGTCAGAACCGATTCCACGGCACACAGCCACCACCACCACCAAAGATTGTTGCCATGATGATAAAAACCATCAGTTGTTATTGTTAAGTGTTGTCAAGTCGGTTGTGACTCAGTGACCCTGTACAGGGTTTCCAAGGAGCGACTGGTGGGTTTAAACTGTTGACCTTGTGGTTCAAGCCAACCTTGTGGTCCAGTGCTTTATTCTACAGCACCTCACCAGTACAATACCTAAAAGTCATCAATATCTCAAAAGTAAAGATGATATGATAAAAAGGTAGGGAAATTAGAGCACTAGAAAAGGTAAAGCAGACGACAATTAAATGTTGACACACTGATAAATGTAACAAATGTCATGGAATAATGTGCATAGAAACTGTCAAATGAGAACCTAACTTGCTGTATAAACTTCAGTCAAAGACTCAATAACATATTGTTGTTTTTAAAAAAGGTAGTTTCTAAATTTAAAAGTATCATGTATAATTAGCCACTGATAACCTAACAAATAGCAGTGGGACATTGTTAGATATAGTACCAAAATATAAAAAACCTTTTTGACTAGAAAGAGAATATTGTCAGATGTACTGCCAGAAGATGAGCCCCTCAGGTGGGAAGA